CTTGGCCGGGCCCCCCTGCAGCCAGGGGGGGCCCGGGAAAGCCAAGAGAAGGCATGTGGGAGTGGCCTAATATGCTAACGAGCTGTGCTGTCAGGGTGTGGCCTAATATGCTAATAGGTTTCTGCTGTTGGGTGTGGCCTATTATGCTAATGAGTCCCTGCTGGGCTTTTTCTACAAAAAAAGCCCTGAGCAGCATCCAAAATAAACATAAGTAAAACACCACATAATAAAAGTTAACAACTAAAACTCAGCCAGGGCAAATGAAGCCCTGACCTGGATGGTCCACGCTACTCTGTCTCACCAGATCTTGGGAGTTAAGCAGGGTCGGCCCTGCTTAGTTCTTGGTTGGGAGACCACCAAGGAAGCCCAGGGTTACTGGGCAGAGGCAGGCAACCGCAAACCACCTGTGTTCATCTTCGCCTTGAAAACCCTTCAGGGTCACCAGAAGTCATCTGTGACTTGACAGCACTTTCCACCTGTAAAATCAGCGAGCAGTTTAAAAAGAGTCTCCAAACAGCTTTGAGCAAAAGCAGACGATAAAATATGATCTTAAAACTTCAACTAACTAAAAGCCTGAGTAAAAGAAAGTATTTTGTTCTGGTACCTAAAAGAGAGCGGGGCAGGCACCAACCAAGCCTCAAGGGGGAGGGCATTCCAAAGCTGAGGAGCCACCACCAAAAAAGCCCCGTCTCTGCTCACCCCTTTAAGTGGGGTCAGATAAGATCTTAATTAGTGAGCTGGATAATATGGGAGGAGGTTATTAGTGATAGCCATTGATAACTCCACCTTTTATAGCCATCGTTAAAAACCATCTTGGGGCTCAACGGTACCGGTTCCATCTGTGTTTATTTTAGACATATATATTATTATTATAATATATATATATATATTTCAAATGCAGCCTTTGGGGACCGCTGTACCAAGGAGAAGAACGGCATGGGAACAACTCAACTCTCTTCTTCCCATCCCTTTTTCTAACTGGAAGAAGCCAACTCCCAAATGGCTTTTACTTTTGGAGGGGGGAATGTATAGGTGCCATTATATTATTATTATTTTTTGCTCGTAATTTAGAAGCTGTTTTTCCCAGTGGGAAAACAGCAGGGGGGGGAAGGGTTTAGCATTTTCTTCCTCTCCTTGATAAAGCAATCCTGGTGGGTGCCTTTGCAAAAGAGAAAAAAACAATTAGGAAATCCTGGCTGTGGCTGACCCCTCAGCAAACAGCCATCTCGGCTTCTTATTTCCCTTTCCTCTCGTGGGTCCCTCTTCCTTGCCTCCTTCCTCAGCTCAGGTGATGATGTTTCTTGCTAAATTGTGTTGAATGTATATTGTGCAAATTCACTAGGCTCAGGCACCTGGGATGGAAAATGTAGAAAATGCCAACGATGCTCATTTTCTAATAATCTGGTACAGTTGTGCTACACATCAGAAATATAGCTCTTCCATGCAATTTTTTAAAAAAGGATTGAGAGCAGAACATAGAAATATATAAATGCAAACTGTAC